TGCCCTTTGGGCGGGGGGCTGGACTCGATGATCTTCCGAGGTCCCTTCCAGCCCTGATGTCTATGAAATCTATGAAACTTCAGAGTAAAAACACGTCATAGCTGAGGCAGTTCTGACTGATCTAAGTCAAAAGCAGCAGAGCACTTTTCACATGTAGCTTGTCCCTGGAATGAATGGTTATTAACTCAAAATAGCCACAATTATTCCAAGAAAAAATACTATCTCAGGGTACAAACGGATGCGGCATTTTGAAACAGTTCTGATTTGATCCAAGTCAAAACCTGTAACAAACAAAAGAGCTGCATGGCCCTTTACGCATATAGTTTGTCTCTGGAATGAATGGCAGTTAATTTAGCCATGACTGTCCCAAGAAAAAAAGTATTATTTTGGATACTTAACAGGTATTTAGAGTCAGACAGTGGGTTTGTAGGTCTGTAGAATGCCAGATTTAGAGACTGTCTCAGAAACTATCCAACACTGCCTAATATGTTGGGGCCAACTTTGATCTGCCTTCTCCAGAAGACAAAAAAACTTGGAGAGGAAAGTGTAGTTATTGTGTGAAGTAGTTATTCTACCCCTGTTATGAAAATATAGTTATTCTACTATGGTGCAGTTTGTGATGTGGGAAGCATGTGAATGCTTGCTAGTCCATGCTTGCTAGTCCATGATTGATCCCAAGCTAAAACCATTTGAAGTATTAGCTCCAAAAACCTCACTATTTTCTTTCTTTTAAATTAAAACTACTGCTAATAGTAAATCAAAGAAAGACATGCATATATGCCATTAACGTTTAGGCCTGTTGCAGATAGAAAACAGGTAGTGTATACTCTTCCAAAATGTCATTGTCATCAGTTTACCCAAGTATGTGTGCATGCATGGCTAAAGCAGTTGGTTGCTACGTGGGAGACACCCAAGCCAGACTTAATGTCAGCATTTTTTCCTGTCCGTTCCATGGCTTCATTTTATGTTTCAGTAACTTATATAAAATTTAACTTGTCCCTTCAAAAATATGACAAAATAAATTTCAAAAGAAAGAATACCAATAAATACGCCAGAAAATAATCTGGTTCCTAAATCTTTTGGACCACCTTTTAACCCTTTACTAGAAATTATTTATCTCTAATAAGACTCCAAAATAGTATATAAGAGAAAAATTAGGCTTTACTGAGTAATGGACACCTAAAAAAATGTTTCAGGAAGCTAAGCAGCCAAAACAGAACCATGTAATTTGAAGCTTAAATACTATAGAGATCTAGCCAAGGAAAAAAACAAACTGTGTTGTTTTGCTCGGAAATCCAAAGAGGCTGGCTTAGATTTAGCTGTTAGAGTTGCTGAATTAATTTGATTCATGTTACATTCCTGGATTCACATCAGAAGGTAGATAACTTTAATATGCACCAGTACAGTCTGAGGATTTCACTGGTACAGGCTGGGGATCAACTGGCTAAGCAGCAGCACTGCAGAAAAGGACCTGTGGGTTACAGTGGACAGCAAGCTGAACATGAGCCAACAGTGTACTCTTGTTGGGAAGGCAGCTAATGGTATAGTGGGCTGTGTATTTAGGAGCACTGCCAGCAGATTGAGGGAAGTGATTCTTCCTCTCTCTTCAGCACTGGTGAGGCCATATCTGGAGTGCTGTGTCCAGTTTTGGGCCCCCCAATACAAATTAGAGAGTCCAGAAGAGGGCAATAAGAATTGTTAGGGGGCTGTGGCACATGACTTCTGAGGAGAGCTTGAGGGAACTGGGCTTATTGGTTGCGTCCAGACAAGTGCAGTCGTGCAGTATGTGGCACAGCAGACTCATCTGCGGCACCACATACCACACATTCCATTGTTCTCTGTGCTGAAAGGAAGTAGCACGGAAGGTTTTTTTGACCCCTGAATATCCAGGCATCAGAAAAACCCACCAAAAAAAAAGCGGAGTACTGCACATGGCAGTGTGCACCACCCAAAGCCAGAGCCCAGCTAGCTGGAGCCACACTCTACTACTGGCCAGGCTCTGTGCGGGAGGAGTAATCTGGCTGCATCCCCAGGAGACCCCCAGGACTCCAGGTAAGGCTGCTGGGGCTAGCCCAGTGCTGGCCCCAGCCTCTCCAACCCCACCCTGGGCAACTTGCCGTGCGCCAGAGTGCACATGGCACAGGTGTTCCCTGGAGACAACTAGCAGCAGTGCAAGGTGTGGTGTTGCTAGTTGTCCCTGGGGAACCAAACATCCATGCATGTCTGGACATGGCCATTTAGTCTGGAGAAATGAAGCCTGAGAGGGGAATTTAATAGCAGCTTTCAACTACCAGAAGGGTGGCTCCAAAGAGGATGGAACTGGACTGTTCTCAGCAGTGGCAGATGATGGAACAGTGGTCTCAAGTTGCAGCAAAGGAAGTTTAGGTTAGATATTAGGAAAACTTTCTCATGGGGAAGGTAGTAAGGCACTGGAACAGGTTACCCAGAAAGGTGGTGAAAGCTCCATCCTTGGAGGATTTTGAGCCCCGACTAGACAAAGCCTTGGCTGTGATGATATAGTTGGGGACAGTTCTGCTTTCAGCAGAGGGTTTGACTAAATGACCTCCTGAGGTCCTTTCCAACTCTAATTTTCTATGATAATATGTGCTGTGGGTAGAAAAGAATGAAATTGCAATAAATCACCTTGTGTGTAAGACCATAAGAAATATTAGGTACAGAAAGGATTATACTGCTTCAAACACTTTTCTTTAGCTTTAGACAGAAGCCTAGATAATAATGTTAATTAAAATTAAGACATGTAGTTGATAAGTCGCCTACATTGTGTAATGCAAATTGTAAATTCCTGCAGCCAGGTCCTATTTATTCACCATGCGCCTAAGTGGCAAATATATAAGTGCATAAGAGCAGCTTTGTGCACTTACTGTACTTTGGGATTCTGTTTCCAACTCTGTGACATGAAATTGCTCAGTTGCTGTAAAAGGGAGAGGAGCTGCCCTTGCTGAAAAAAAAGAGGAGAGGAGTGCCCTTCAGATTTTCAGCTCAATAGCCTTGTGTAAGGCTGTAAAACTTCTCTGTGGTCAGGGGCCATAGACCACATATTGCACAGGCCACATACCCCCTGGACTGCATGGTGTGTAGGCTGTGTGTCATACCACATGCTCCCACCACCACTGCACCATGTGGCGGACACCTCCCTCTGCCCCACCCTGCTGCAGCATGCCAGTGCCCCTGAACCCTGGACACCGCACTGCACCACATAGCCCCCCCCCCATCCTTACACTTTGCTGGCATCCCCGCACAGGGTCCTTTGTCCCTCTGAGCTACCCAGCTGTACCCTCTCATGAGCTGTGCTGCTCTGCTCTGTCCCAGGCATGGGGGCAGAAAGCAGAAGCCAGAGCAGGGAGAGGAAGCTTGGAGACTCTGTCAGCAGCAGTCACTGAAGCAGTGGGGAGAAGTGGTGTCTGAACTGAGAGCCTAGAGGCCATAGGCGGTGTGCATCACCAGTTGGACAGCCCTGGCCTACTGGAAGGGTACTTGCTCAGGGAGAAGCAGACCCAGATTTCAGGCCTTCCTCACCTAAAGGTGGTTTACATCTGTATCTCCTGCTTCTGTGGGCCAGGCCTAAAAGCACTACATACTACTCTCATTAAAGTTGGGCAACTGCACCTTGCATTTACTGTTCACTGGATAAAATAGATAAACAGCACTGGGAGTGTTCTTGCTCCTTTGGTAGCAGGGTTCTCTCCCTTCACTAAACACAAACCCTCTGGCTTGTTCTGTTCCTCCTGGTTCTGCATATCTGCATGTCAGTAGTTATTCCAAAGCAAAATGAGTGTAAGGCCTTTTAGTAACATCAGTGGTGTTATCGTCACACAGGAATTACTCTGTTTATCAAATGACGAAAGCAGCTAAGAAAGACATGAAGTGCCACAGAATTATTTATGAGGCAAGACAGAAATGGAAATTTTAAAAATAGAGCAGGAAATAAGAGCTTAGAAGTATTTTTGCTGCCTAGAACTTTTTTAATGATTTATGATTTGCATTTGAGGACTGAGAAATAATGATGGTAGAATAGAAGGTAATGTAAATGAGGTTCCATCTTTGAATTCACTGATGGTCATGGTTTGAATATCAAATCTGGTATAGCTTTTTCCATGGGACCCCAAATAATATTGCTTCTCAATTCTTTTTTTTTTTTTTTTTTTTTTTACACAAAAGTTTGCACTGCCTTTAGGGTTTCAAAATACTGTTTTTTAAAGCAGTAATTAGGGCTTTAGGAATCTTGTTACATATTAATACCCTAAATGAAGACTATAGGCTTGTTGCTACTTGTGAATTTTCTTATGTTGCTCCTTAGATCTGAATCACTGTGAATGACAGGAGTAAACATCAATCAGATGAGTGCATTCTGTCCAAATGCTTCTGATGAGATCCATAACTTTAATATGATTATTATTTTTGAGAAAAATTATGTCAGCCATCAGTTAAAAATATTATAGAAATAAATTCACTCTCAAATCCCAAAATATTTCCAATGCAGGTACATAGAAGGTTC